CTGTTGGTCGTGCTTGGTTAAGAACACTTTCGGTTCTTAGGAGACACAGGTTCATTTCCCAGTACCATATGGTACTTCACACCTGTCTGTAACTCTAGGGTCAGGAGATCTGACATCCTCTTTCAGCCTCTTTGGTACTACATGCACATGTTACACATACATACATGTAGGCAAAACACTCAGAGTCACAAAATAAAGATTTCTATACACGTATCTCTGTGTATAGGTATATACATATGAGTTAGGTAATGCATCAGGTGTCCACAGAGGTCAGAGGAGCCATCTTCCTTAGAGCTGGAGTTGCAGGTGACTGTAACGTGCCTGACATGGGTGCTAGGAATTGAACTTGGCTCCTCTGCAAAAGTAGCACATGCCACTGAGCTACCTCTCCAGCACCCAAAATAAATAAACTTAAAAAAAAAAATACAAGGCTGATACAACCACACGGCTGGTTGAAGCAGCCGTGTACAAAATATAAAGGTTAGAGAGGCGCTTTTTATATGCTTTTTATACAAAGTAGGTTAAGAGGTTTTCAGGCTTTTCATGTTATACTTCTGCAAGCATAAAAACAGGTCAAGTAGGGCCTTGTGCACTATTGGCAAGCACTCTAACACTGAGCTACATCCCTAATCTGAACACTGACTTCTGTTAACAGTATTTGTTACTCTGTTGCATAGTGGTTGATACACACAGTACTAAAAGTAAGTTATTAAAAACAGTGAATTATATCACCTTACTACATTTTTTCCCTGAATCTTGAGTATAGATCTGACATAAAAACATGGACCCTGGGAAACATTTTTTCCTAACTAAAAATAAAATAAACATTGAGTTAAAATTTTACCAGTATTTCTTTGTTGTTTTATCTGTATCCTGTTTACAATAATTTCCCTCGGTATACTTAAAAAAGAATGGGTTAAATGTCTGTTGGTAAGTAGTTAATGCAATATATTTCCAAGTCTAAACAGTGGGCATGAATAAAAGGGAATTCGAATCAGACCATTTAAAAAAAAAATTATTGGCCAAGTGGTCATAGCACACACCTTTAATCCCAGCACTAAGAGAGGCAGAGGCAGATGGATTACTGTGAATTCCAAACCAACCTGGCCTACAAAGTGAGTCCAGGATAGCCAGGGCTACAAAGACAAACTCTGTTTCGAAAAATCAAAAACCCAAAAGCCCAACCTTTCACTTCTTCTGCTGGGCTTGATAGCACACAACTATAATCCAGCACTTAAGGTGAAAGCAGGAGCATCAGGAGTTCAAGGTCATCTTCATTTCCTCAAAAAATTTGGCACTATCCTGGGCTAGGTTCAGGAGCTCCTGTCTCAAAACAAACAGCAAAGAACCCCTCACTTATTATTTTAAAAGATTAGGCAGGGCCAGTGAGATGGCTCATTGGTAATTAGCCTGATGACTTAAATTTAATCCCCATGTCCCATATGATGACAGAGAACCTATGCCAGCTATTTATCTTTTGGCCTCCAAATGTGAAATGGCACTTGATTCCCCCCACCCATAAAAACAAACAAACAATCAAACAAACAAACAAACAAACAGAATTTAAGGGACCTGACAGATAGCTCAGATTTTCCAGAGGAGCCCTCAATCTCATAACCTGTATCAGTCCACTTATGTAACTCCAGCTCCAGGTAATTCAATGTCCTCTTCCGGCCTCCACAGGCACCTACATACAAGTGTCGTGCACACATACAGACAAAAATAAAAATAACAACAACAACAACAACAAAACCCAAACATCTCCAGGGCCTAGAGAGATAGCTCAGGGGTTAAGAGCACTGGATGTTCTTCTAAAGGTCCTGAGTTCAAACCCAGCAACCATATATTGGCTCACAGCCATCTACAATGAGATCTGGTACCCTCTTCTAGCATGCAGGCACACATGCAGGCAGAATACTGTACAATAATAAACAAATAAAAAGGTTATCAGATTACGTTCCTACTACCCACATAGAGGCTCATGACCATTTATACCTCCAGTTCCAGGAGATCTGATGCTCTTTTCTGACCTCCCAAGGCACCAGCTACACACATGGTGTGTGCACATTACATTTATCCATTCAGGTAAATAAATACACACACACCTAAAATACTGTTTTAATTACTTAAAAATAAAAGCAAATCTTTAAAAAGACTAAGTGACCAGGCACAGTGGCAGACACCAGTAATTCTAGCACTGGAGAGTCTGAGGCAGGAGGATCTAAAGCTCAAGGTTAGCTATATAGCAGAACCTTGCCTTGTGATTCTGGCACCCCAATGAGTTCAAGGCTTGCCTGGAATAAGTACCAAAAACTTGTCTCAGGGCTGGAGAGATGGTCAGTGGTTAAGAGCACAGGCTGCTCTTCTAGAGGACCTGGTTCAATTCCCAGCAACCACATAGCAGCTCACGACTCTCTGTAACCCCTGTTCCAGGGCATCTGATACCCTCATATAGACATACATGCAGGTAAAACACTATGCAAATTAAATAAATAATAAAAAAATAAGCCGGGCAGTGGTGTCACAGACCTTGAAAAAGAACTTGTCTCAAGAGAAGAGTAAATTGTTATTGTGGGCATTCAGACAATAGCAATATATACGGGAAAATTTGAAAGCATTTTCCTTACCAACACTATTAAATGCCCAGACATAGGAGCTGTTAAGGGACTTACAGAGTTTTCACCATACATATACATATACTTACAAATATGGCTTAAAAACAGGAACTTGAGGGTTAAAAACATACAAACCAACCAACCTATATATTGCTCTGCATACTGTTTTCTACAAAAAACTGATTGGCAGATGCTGAGACTCATAACCAAACTTTGGGCAGAATGCAGGGAATCTTATAAAAGAAGGGAGAGAGAGTAAGACCTGGAGAAGACAGGAGCTTCACAAGGAGAGAAACAGAACCAAAAAATCTGGGCACAGGGGTCTTTTCTGAGACTGATACTACAACCAAGGACAATTCAAGGATAGAGCCCCTGCTCAGATGTAGCCCATGGCAGCTCAGTCTCCAAGTGGGTTCCCCAGTAAGGAGAACAGGGATTGTCTCTGACATGAACTCAGTGGCTGGCTCTTTGATCACCTCCCCCTGAGGGGGAAGCAGCCTTGCCAGGCCACAGAGGAGGACAATGCAGCCAGTCCTGATTAGACCTAATAGGCTAGGGTTGGATGGAAGGGGAGCAGGACCTCCCCTATCAATGGACTTGGAGAGGGGCATGAGAGGAGATGAGGGAGGGAGGGTGGAATTGGGAAGGGGCTACAGCTGGATAAAAAAAGTGAATAAACTCTAATTAATATAAAAAAATAAATTAAAAAAAAAACTGCTTGGGATTCTCCCAAAAATCCACAGAAGAGCCTAGAGCTCTTATTTCTTTTGCATAGCACCCAGGACTGGTTCCTAGCTCCCACATGGCAGATCACAACTGTGTTCAATGACAGTTCTAGGGGGTCCACACCCTCTTTGAGCCTCCATGGAAGCAGTGAATACACATACATGCAGCAAACACTCAATACCATAAAAAAGCCATATCAATTTCTTGGCCCAGTATGAAGGCTGCTCAGTAGAGAATATCTTTGATAATTGTAATTTTTAGTTTCACCTTTGCTAACTTCTCTAATTTTTAATGTTTTCCTTTGCTAGTTTTTCATTGTTGCTATTTTCAAATAAGGTTTCTTGTAGCCCAGGCTAGCCTCTAAGTCACTTTGTAGCCAAGGATGACCTTGAATTCCTGCTTCTCTTTCACTACAGTGTTTTGAATACAATCATGGCCGGGACACTAGGTTTAGCTTAATTTTTAATCTTATGAAAGAATTCAAAATTCAGATACAGAAATTAGTTTATTTATTGATTTAACTTAACAGCTGAAATGCTTAACTGGCATTTCAAAAATGTACACATGGTTTGATGTCCTAGAGGAAGTGCACAATGCACAAGAAATAGCATTAGAATGAAGGGATTTAGTCGACTTAAAACAGTAATTAATTGTGTAAATCTAGGGCTGGTTTTCCTTACTTATAAAGGTAGAGGATACAAAAGTGTGTCCAGTGAGTTCAGGAGAGCCAAGGCTACACAGAAAATACCTGTCTTGAAAAAGCAAACAACAACAACAACAAAAACCTAACCCAAACCAACCAACCAACCAAACAAACAAACAAAGAAAAAACCCAAACCAAACTTGTTACTAGTCTTTTAAAGCTCTACAAGTATATGGCTTTAAGTCACAAGCATTTAAAAACACAGAGCTAAGATCCATTTGTTCGAACTGCTCAACATCAAGCTAGGAAAAAAAAAAAAAAAAAAAAGGCTGGATGTCCCAGCTCACACATGTAACCTCAGCACTTGGAAGGAGGATTGTCATGAGGCTGAAGCCAACATGGGCTCCAGTGGGAGAATGCTTCATATGAAACAGAACAAAAAATAAACAAAAAGGAATTCGAATACTGTGTGTTTCCTATATCTCAAAGTCAATCTGTTCCATAAGGTCTGTGCGTGGGTGTCTTAGTTTGCTCATTCCTGTCTGTCACACAGAGAACACAGCCGAGAACGCGTTACACATTCTGAACGCTTGAAAATCGGGCATGAACCTGGCATCATCTCAACTCATCTAGTTCTCCCACTCCTGGGCTGACATGACAGTTCTTACATACATCCGAGTGAGCAAGATGGTCCACAGCAGAAGCCCGCATTTAATACCTTACGGATAGCAAAACGAGCACCTCAGCAGAACATTCAAAGCGGTCTGAACTCCAGAAGTGTCACAACTTGTAGCTGCACATTCCCCAGCTGCTGGAAGCCTGCTGGTCACGTACTCCAGCCGCTTTTGGATTCAGAACCACACCAAAAGAAGCTGCAGCTCCCGCTTTTGTGAAGCCAACTTCCTCCCTAACCCGGAATCCAACTCACACCCAGCAAGGATCCCAGGGAAAGAGCGAGCTGACCCTCCCCAGCCCAAAGTCGAGAAAGTCCCTGCTGCTGGCAGGCACTGCCTCACCTCCTTCTTTCTTTGGGCAGAGGCCGAAGGAACCTTGGAAACCAGCAGCAGTGCCACCGCCGCGGTTGCACACACGCACCAGAACCACCTCGGCGAGGCCATGTTCACTCGGATCCCTTGCTGGCGGGGCGAAACTTTCTTTCAGTAAGGTCCGAGGGTGGGGCATGAGAACAGGGGAACCGAGCCCTTGCCGCTCCACATTGGCTCAGCCGTGCCGGACGACCCCTCAGATTACGTCACGCGCGGCGGACACCCGCTAAAAAAACAGTTCTCTTCTGATTGGTTCCCGGGAGCCAATAGGAAAAGGACAATCTGGAGCTTTGTTATTGGCCCGCTGAATAGGCTGCACCGCCCCTTTCGTGATGCGTAAAGATAGATGTCCCGCTCAGCGAAGTTTCAACGGTGGTGCGCATGTGTGAAACGTCTTTTTTTTTTTTTGAGGCACAAAATGCCTTGTATGTTTAAAAATAGAATCATCCTCCATAAAGCGTTCACTTAGAATTGTTTGAAATTCAAGCGGCCTAAGTAACACAAGCCTCTAATCCAAGCATTTGCAAGAGCACCAATTGTTCAAGGTCATCTTTGGCTACATTGCTGGGGTTCCAGGACGCCTAATCAATCAAGATTGTCTCAAGGAAAAAGGTGCCCACGTGGTGTCTCACAACCCAAATTCCAGCTTTTGGGAGGTGGAAGTGGAGGCAGGACGATTAGGAATTCAAAAAGTTCAGAGGTCCAGTCTAGCGTGGGCTGAAATATATCTTATATCAAAAGTGTTTTGTTTTGTTTTGTTTTTGTTTTTTTGAAACCACGTCTTTAGTATAATATTCTGGAAGAGGGGCTAAAGAAATGTCTTGGCAGTTAAGAACATTTAATTGTTTTTGGAGAGGATCCTCCCAGCACACTCATGGTAGCTAACAACCGAGTTCCAGGAGATCTGATGCTCTCTTCTGACCTCCATAGGGACCAGGCACACACCTGGTGCACATACATGCATGCAGCCAAAACACTCACACTCTCTCTCTCTCTCTCTCTCTCTCTCTCTCTCTCTCTCTCACACACACACATACTTTTTTTTTTTAAAAAAAGTGCATACTATTCTTGCAGATAGCTCAAATTCTGTTCCCATCACCCATGTTGAGGTGTTCACAATTGCCTGCAACTCCACCCAAAATTGCTTTGGTCATGGTGTTTCAACATAGCAATATTAATCCTGACTAAGACACTGGTGATGTATAGGTTAGTTTGTGGGACATTTAATTGGCATTAAAGACATAGGTTCAATCCTCAGTATTCCTTCAGTACATGTACACACTCACACACCCCCCAATGTATAATTTAGATGTATTTACTTTGCAGTGCAGGAAATTGAGTAGAGGACCTATGCAAGCTGGGAAGCATTTTGCCACAGAGCTTCATCCCAAGCCCAAGTTGCATTTATTTTGACTGTGTGGAACATAATTATGTGTTTATTCTTTTAGGTCCTACTGGCAAGCAGAACCCCCACAGAATTATAATTTCACTATTTGGAGAGTTAAGGAGATGGTTGTTGACAGATAAGTAACTGGTCTCAACATAAGGAGGTATGAAATAAGATGAGCATGGTGGTGCATACCTGTAATCCCAGTACTCAAGAGATAGAGGCAGGAGGGTCAAGGGTTCAATATCAGTCTTGGTTACATAGGGAGTTCCTTCCTGAGCTACAAGAGACCTTGTTTAAAAAAAAAAAAAAGAGAGAGAAGAGATAGACAGAGAGAATACATTGCCACATGTGGTGGTGCCACACGCCTATAATCCCAGCACTTGGCAGACTAAAAAAGGAAAATCACAAGTTTAAGGCCCACTTGGGTTACATGGCAAGTCCCTGTCTTGATGAGAAAAAAAAATATATATATATGAAAATAATAGATAAAAAAATTAAGCTGAGCCTTATAAATCAGCTTAATTCTGACTACTTGGGAGACTGAGGCAGGAGAATTGCAAGTTCAATGCCTATCTGGATTTTAGAGTGAGTGAATAGCCAATGTGGGCAACTTAGTGTGAGCTTATCTCAAACGTTAAAAAAGAAATTTTTAAAATGGTTAAATTAAAAGCATGGCAGCTCACACCTACAGTCCCAACACTTGGGAAGCTGAAGCAGGCAGATTGCCATGAGACTGAGGCCAGTCTTGGCTATATAGTAAACTCCAAGCTAGCTTGGACTAACAGATGAAATCCTGTCTAAAGAAACGACACATAACTAAACAAACAAGCATAACAAAATAAGCATGGATGTTCCAGTATCTTTGTTGTATGCTGACTTAGATTGCTTCAGGTATATGTGCCAGAGTGGTCATATGGATACAATATGGTACAGAATCACCAGTGGATACAAAAGGTAATGGATAAAAGCTTATGCAGAGCAGGATAGTCACAATGCATTCTTTACAAGTTACTCTTTTGTTTTTGTACACATCCCTCCTTTCTCCACAAGATACATTTTTTTTTTTAATTACAGAGGGACAGCAATGACTTTAAAGTATAGAAATATGGTGCACAATGCTTTGATTAAATGATTAAAGTTTATACTATCAATAAAGGGACATGCTCTAAGAAGTAGAGTTTGGCTTGTACATTATTTCTCTAATCATGGCACTAGAGAAGCTAAGGCAGAAGAATTGCAAATTCCAGGCCAGTCTGGGCTACATAGTGAGTTCTATCTTTTTTCTGGGATACCTAGGTTACAAAGAGTTTCCTGAGAAGATTCATCTGTTATGTAGTAATCTTGCCAGATGTACATAAACTAATGGAATCCCTAGAAAACAAAGACAAATTGATCTCCCAGCATTTGGCATGCAGAAGCAGGCAGATCTCTGAGTACCAGGCCAGCCTGTTCTACATCGAGAGTTCCTGGACAGCTAGGGCTACATAGAGAGACCCTATCTCAACCACTCCTCCTAAAAAAAAAAAATCAAAAGTTAAACCAATTAGTATAGGTAATAGGAGACAGAAAATAAAACAAAATAAAAATAAAAAAAATGAAGGGACAGTAATTTGAAGTGAGACACTAGACCCAAACCTCTGGAGTCTTAATACCATCTTGAAGCTGCTGCCTTATGTAAGGTTCATGTCTCAGCTCTCCTTTGTAGGATCCTAAACCTCTATCCAAAGCGTTATCTCGCTGTTTAGAAAATACTGTTCTATGGCCCTCACGAAGTTTGAAACTACATTTCCCACTGTCCGGGTTGCCAGGCCCACTTTGCCTCTGCTCCAGCTGAGCTAGGTTGCTCAGCACCGGGAAGGGCTGGGCTGTCTGTCTGTCCTCTGGCCCCACCCCCTTCTTGCCAGATCATCCATTGCTGTCAGTCACTGTCTAACCATGATGCCTTAACATGTGGAACGTGTACTGGGGGCCGTCACTAACTCTTAACTCTCCTGTCTGCATGAGCCTATGGCCTCCCTGTCCTTGCCTTGTCTGCCATCCCCATCCTGGTGACCCGCCCAGGGAGGCCTGGGGTGTGCTGCTGTTGCTTCCGGCGGGTTTGGCCAGCTCTGCCCCTCCCCGTGGTCGGGGTTGGGGTGGCTCCAGTAGCTAGGGGAGAGTCAACTGCCAAAACTCAATGCCTCCAGCACCATCTAGGAGGCAGGATGGGGTGCCTCATTCTTCTGCCTTCTCTGTCCTTGTAGGCAGCACTCAGCCCCTGTCCCCACAGAGAGCCCCTAGGGACAAAGCCAGCTGAGCCTTACTTTTTTCACCTGGGGCCTGTGGCTTGAACCTCGTGCCTGGCCTGTCAGTATTTATTGCCTCCATTTGGGCCAGCTGGCCTGATGCCTCTGCCTTGGTTCTTGGTGCCACCACCCCTGGGCAGGCCCTCCCTGGACCCAGCCAGGGCAAACGTGGGAACAAGTTCACACAGTTGGGAGCTATCTTCTGTGCCTCCCCTCCCCTTCCCCAGTCCCCGTGTGGTGTCTGGAGGCCCAGGCCCCAACAGGCAGAGGAGCCTGTCCGTGCTTCGATTCTGACTGGGAAATAAATGTCCCTGAAGGAGTCAAAAAAAAAAAAAAAAAAACAACCCATAGAAAACTACATTTCCCAAAGGCCTTTCTCTTTCCTCGCAGGAAACAGGATTACAATTTCTGTAGGTCAACCCCCAAATCTCGCGAGATCGCTTCAAAGCGCATTACGCATCCCCACTGAAAGCCATTTTGTTTTTCAGGACTCTGCAAGGGTAGCTGGGGTGAATTTGCACCGAGGAAGCAGTTTTAGTCACCACAGTTCCATCTTCTCCGCGATGTTGCCCTTGGCCAAAAACGCACTGAGCCGTCTCCCAGGTGAGCAGACAATGTGGGCGAATCCTGTACAGTAGCTGGGGATCCTTCTGTCCTCGTGCTCTGGTGCCCTTTTCCTCCACCAGTATCCTGCGCTATTAATTCTGGGTGCACGGTGCCCTGCATGGTCTCAAGTCACTGAAAGATAGCCGTGACAGTGGTAGCCGTGACAATGGCTTTACCATCCTGTCATTGTGTTCCTAGCCTAGTTCTCCGCTCTCATTCTTCAGGGACCTATGATTTCCAGGAAGACCGCTTTGGAGGACACCTCGCTCTTTTTAGCTTTGGGACTGTATTTACTTGTTACCCTTCATAGAGGAACTGATCTACCATAACGTAGCAGGGAGGAATCCCTAAGTAGCTTTGAAGAAATCATCTGCAGATTATCAATTGACTATTAACTGTCGAGAAAACAATCGTGGTCATTTTTTTCTGCTTAAAAGTTAGGCAAGTAACGTGGAAATTTGAAACTAGCATTGTATATGGAGAATACAGTAGATTGGAGAGGAAAAAAAATTCATGTTCATAGTTGCTTACCCTTGAAGGTGACCTTCAGTAACGTATATAGGTGACCTTACACAACTACTTTTAACTTGCTTCTCTAGCCATGAATTTTATTTTTATTTTACAGAGATATTAGGAGCATCACAAATTGTGTTCTCAACACTGAGGTACTTTGGGGATATTTGAAAAAATAGAAGCCCAGTTGATGTTTCATATGCCACAAGCCGTGTTTGTTATTTCTTTCACTTTGGACAAATGATTTAGCTTCATAAACTTGTTTCGTAAAACAGAGGTTAGTAAATAATACCTATTTCATTAACCAACCTCTGGTCACTAAATCTTTGTATGTGTGTGTTAGTGTTACAGAGGAGAGACTTAAAATCCACTTGGTAAATCAGAGTGTTGAAACAAGTTATTCGCTAATCTCAATTTCTTTGATCTTTAAGTGATTTAGGGACCTTTATACTGTAGAAAAAGGTTATTTTTTAAAGCTTATTCCTGTTTCCTGGTGTGGAATTCCCATACCCACCTTTTAAGTGTTCTGGAGAAGAATACATTATGAATGTTCATGAATTTGCTTATTCTGGGTGTGGCTGTTTTCTGAGGGGGAGGGTCTCCAGTACACTAGGTTGGCCTCCAACATAATATGTAGCCAAGGATGTCTTCAACTCCTGATTCTTTGTCTCCATTTTCCAAGTGCTGGGATTACAGGACCTTGTGCCTTTATAGATTTATTCTGTTTCTGTTGTGTTAGGGATCAAATCTAGGGAATGTTAGGTAAGCACTACACCGATTGATCTACATTTCTCTGGGTGTGACTGGTTAAAGGAGAAAATGAAAGCTAAGGAAAACAGCTAATATAATGGTTAGGTAATTATCAGGATTATATCATGTGGATACTATTATTTTTTTTTAAAGATTTTTTTTTAATTTATACAACATTCTGCCTATACATCAGATCTTACTGTTAGATGGTTATGAGCCACCATGTGGTTGCTGGGAATTGAACTCAGGACCTTTGGAAGAACAGCAAGTGTTCTTTACCTCTGAGCCATCTATCTCTTCAGCCTCTACACTATTATTTTTACTGATTTTGTTTTTACTTTTGAAATGTTCTCACTCTGTAGCCCAGGCTGCATCAAAATCGAGTGCAATTTTTCTACATTAGCTGAGAGGACAAATACCTCCCAAGTGCTCAGAGTACAGGTGTGAACCATCATCACAGCTTGAATCAAACTTGCTTTTTTTTTTTTCACCGTATCTTTAATCACCTTTAAAGACCCTTAAAGCAATAAGTACGTGATACCTAGATTAGAGAGGAAGGAAAAAGCCTAATACCTTTCTTGTTATTTACCACTTCTTTTCTAGTTTTATTCCTTATTAAGCTGCCTGTATACCTTGTTCTTCATCCAAACAGGATTGGCTTTCTGGTGTAGTAGATCAATCGATCTAGCTAGCTAGCTATCATCTGTCTATCTATCTCTATCCATTTTAATTTCATTTTTCTACATCAGTATAAGCAAATCCTACTTGCCTAAGTGCTCAGTTAATTCTACTTTCTTGTTTTACCGTGATTTGTGTCTTCATGTATAATGTTCAATTCTAGGTTAGAAATTACCTGATAATAAAGTTTCTATCTTATACATTTTCCTATACTCTATTTTTTGAGGCAGGGTTTCATGTACCCTAGGCTGACTGCCGATCCTCCTGTCTACACCTTCCAAGAGCTGGAAGGGATTACAAATATGCTTGTCTGCTTATATACTCATATAATTGGGTCTTATTCATTACTGATTATTTTAAAATTTAGCTTACCATCGTTAGGACATAATTTTAAGGTAATAAATATTTGATGTATATTAATCAGATAATTTTGAATTTATGTTTCTTTGTATGTTTAAAGTTATTGAGCAGTGTTGAGTAAATTTTTGTGAAAGGTATCCAATAAACCATTACTGACATAACACCTCCAGTTTTTCTTTTCCTCCAGCCATTTTTTTTTGAGACAAGGTGTCACTATATAGATTGGCTGTCTTATAAATCAGGCTGGCCTTGAACTCACAGAGATCTGCCTGCCTCTGACTTTGGAGAGCTCCAACTTTTGTTCTGAAAATTTTCAGAAATTTAGAACATTGAGAATTGTGGGAAGAATATTCACCCATTTTGTGTCAACATTTTGTTATATTTGTTTAATGATGTTTGTGTCCATGTGTCGAGTTATCGGTTTCTTTTTTCTTTTCTTTTTTTTTTTTTTTGAGATGGAGCCTTTTTCTGTAGCTCAGACTAGCCTAGAATTCACTGTGTAGGCCAATTTGCCTTTGAACTATGGCAATTCTGTCTCAGACTCTAAAAGTGCTAAGATAACAGGTGTGAGCCACTGGGCCTAGCAGTTTATCTTTTTATTAAAGCATTTAAGAAGGTGCTTACTAGGAGATGAGGGAGGGGGCTACAGTGGGGATACAAAGTGAATACACTGTAATATATAAAAATAGAAATAAATTTAAAAAAGAAGATGCTTACTTGTTCTTTCTTTATTTCTGTTTTTTTTTTTTTTAAGATTTATTTATTATGTATACAATGTTTTTCTTGGCCTCAGCAGAGGGCACCAGATCTCATTATAGATGATTATCAACCACCATATTATTAATGGGAATTGAACTCAAGACCTCTGTAAGAGCGGACAGTGCTCCCAACCCCTGAGCCATTGTTTGTTTGTTTTGTTTTGTTTTGCTTTGTTTTAAGACATGGTTTCTCTGTGTAGCCCTGGCTGTGCTGGAACTCACTGTGTAGACCAGATTGACCTTGAACTCATAGCAATCTTGCTGGGATTAGAGGCATGCACCACCATGCCCGGCCACTTGTTCTTGTGATTAACATTTAGTTGATTTGCATAGTAGTATATAGAGTTCACTACCTTTGCTTTCCTGATTGATAGTTGTGTTCTCTTTATTTTGATAATTGACACATATACTCTGTGTTCTTTTTTAAGTTCGAAACATTCAGCAAGTGGTGGCAAGGCAGAGCCACCAGAAGAGGACACCTGATTTTCATGACAAATATGGAAATGCTATATTAGCTGGTGGAGTTATCTTCTGTGTTTCTGCGTGGACATATGTAAGTATTATTAGTTGAGTATTCTTTTTCAGTGCAAGGGATTGAATATAGTGCCTTATACATCTTAAGCAAGTGTTCTGCCATTGAGCTATACTCTCAGGCTTAGTGGTTTTTAATGTAGATAGGTTTTATTCTTATCTAGTCTATGTATTGAAAATGTTAAAGTTCTAGTTAAGGAGGGATTTGAAAAGTCATCTGATCACCCAATATGTGTGTGTCTCTTTGCATTCAGCATCGATCCATCTTCTGTTATTTCTGATTCCAGTAACAAATTGCTTGCTGGATCACAAAGCAGCTCTTTCCTGGCTTGTGTAGCTGTGAGAAGGATCTTATTTGTGGAACCCAAGCATGGTGGTATATGCCTGCAATTCCAGGTCTTGAGAGGCTTAGGCAGGAGTACTACAAGGATGAGGTTAGCCTAGGCTATATATAGTGTTTATAGTGACACCTTGTCTCTATAACAGTTAAAAGAATTCTAATGTTGAGATAAATATGCTTCCCTTCATAATTTTTACATCATTTAATTGCAGTACAGGAATTCTGACCCATTGTATTCCATATGACAGCCATCAGCTAGTAGTAGAAGATTGCTGTCATAGCTTGTAAAGTACATGTGTAACATTGACGGAGCCCTACATTCAGACCACAGCCCCGCCCCCAAATTTTCAAAAATCATTAGCACGTTATCTTTACTTTGTTAAGATTAAAACATCTATCAGTATATTGGTCAGTTTTGTTTTCTATTTCTGGATTGTCATATTTTGAGTCACCTTCCTGGATACACTTCAGGGATCAGCTGTCCTTCTAGAATTTCCTTCATAACTGAGGTAGAAGGCAGTGTGGTTGGAAGTACACACCTGCACTCCCAGCACCTAGCAGGTTGAGGCGCATAGACTGAGAGAGTAAGACCTGCTAGACTTATAGCAGGATTGAGGCCTGCTTAGGCTATGTAGCCCACTTTGTCTCAAAACAAGAAACAAAGAATCCACTCCAAAACGTGGGTATAATTTTCTTAATAGATGAAATGTAATTTGTTGTCCATATTCTAGTGTTGTATATATGTTGCTTAACAACTTATTTTCTAGTTCTTCTAATTTTGGTTAAAAGTACTAATTTTGAAATTTGAATACATATATTTGTGTGTAAGTGAAACAGATTGCTGAGTGGTGGTAAACACCTATAATCCCAACACTAGGGGGGCAGGAGAATCAAGAGTTCAGTGTTATCTTTAGTTACATATCAAGTGTGAGGCCACCCTGGGCCACATGGAGCCTCATCTTACTAAAAGGGACAATTCAGCCCCCACCTGAAATTACATATACTATTAGTTTTAGGGTTTGAGGATTGAACACGGGGCTTGTATAGCTAAGCATATTCATGCGCCTTTAATGATCTATACCTCAACTTTAAAGTCAGATATTAAACTCTTAGGTAGTTGTACTTGACAGAGGCAATATTTAAGAGGGAGAGAAAATGTATAGTTTTAAATTAAGAACAATTTCAAAATGTATTTTCTCAGTGTTGTAGCCACATTCTAAGTACTTTTAGTGTGTGGAGGTTGAAGAAAGGGTTTCTCTGTGTAGTCCTAAATGTTCTGAACTATTTTGTTGACTATGGTGGTCTCAAACTCAGAGATCCACCTGCCTCTGCCTCCTGCGTAGTAGGATTAAAGGTGGGTCCCACCACTGGCAGACATTCCAAGTACTTAATGGCCAGAGATGGCCAATGACTCCTATATTAGACAGTGCAGATTTAGAACATTTCCTTCAACTCAGAATGTTGATAAAGGTGAATGAGGACAGCAATTAGTTTTGACCTCTATGAAAAACACTATATCCCAGGTGACTTGCTATTTATTATTAACCTAAGGAGCGGAATTTCTTTGTAGTTTTGAAGAAAGTTTCCAAATTGAGAATGGACTGTGGTTTAAGTATGTGTAACTAACTGACAGTCTTTTAATTCTTACAGACAGCCACACAAATTGGAATAGAATGGAACCTGTCTCCTGTTGGCAGAGTCACCCCAAAGGAATGGAGAGATCAATAGTCATGCCAGCTGGTACAATAATCATTCAAAAACCAACTTATAAGTGATGCCAAGTCAAAGAATCATCTGTTCATTAAATTATGGCATATTGAAAAAATAAAGTACCTTTGAAATCTTTTAGATTTTGTTTTCTTTTGTAAATGAAGCCAAGTGTGTTATGACTTCATTTATTCAAGCTGTACTGTGTCTTAAAATGGCTTTTTTCTATGAAGTGGTATGAGGGAAGTCTGATTAGGAAAGCAACTTTATAGTAAGCTGAAATTACAGCTAATAAATAAACAATCACAGAGCTGGGTCAAGAGTTTGATCCATATAAACGTTATGCCTTAGTACCCTCTGCCACAGGGTTATATTTGGAATTGGCAGTAACTTCCTTTCTTTCCTGATTAGGACTTCAGACTGTCACTAAACCCAAGAGAATAATGGTCCTGTTTTGAGCTCTGTAGCCTCTGCAGCATATTCATTTTAATTAGGTGGTGGAGTTTCAGCAAAAACCTTAATCCTAGGGAGGGGAGTAATCTGTCACATGCTTTCTACTTATTTAACTGTTCATCATGGGTTTAAAGTGATAAAGTTTGATACTTCACTTATTGGCCTCTCCTGTTGGTTTTCTATAATAATAGCAATATCATGTAACATTTAGGTTTGGGGATTGGCCTGCGTTCATTATTTGGCACTGGACTTGCTGTGTAAGATGTAAACTAAACAAAACATTGATTGTATCACATGCTCCATTGGTTAGAGCTGTAGTCTATAGTTATAATGTTCCACTAAGCAGAACATGGAAATTCTGTCTCCTTTAACAATTCTATATGTATCTGATAGGATACAATAGGATATATTTTGTTTAACAAATAATTTTCAAGATTTGTACCTCTGTATTAATACTATTTGATAAAATTTAAGCTGGATGAGGTAGCATACACCATCAATCAAGAGACAGAAAGACAGGAAGGATCACTTTGCAGTGATCAGGCCAGTCGAGCCCTACATAGTTGAGACCGTGTCTCCAACAACAACAACAACAAACTTGATCATTTTATGAGATCTATAGAAATACTCAAACTGGGAGCTAGAGAGATGGCTCAGTGGTTAGGAGCATTGTCTGCTCTTCCAAAATACCTGGGTTCAATTCCTAGCACCCACATGGCAGCTCACAACTGTCTGTAACTCCAGTTCAAAGGGATCTGACACCTTCACACTGATGCACATAAAATTAAATAAATTATTAAAAAAAGAAAACATTAAAAAAGAAATGTTCAAACTAATACTAAGCCAGTCAAATAAAAAAAAATCAATCTGAAATGTGATTAAACTTTTAAAGACTTAACATCTTCAATCATACCTTTTGACCTCAGAACTAGCACTTATTTATCTCTTCTGTCAGGGAAGTGATAGTTGTCAGCTTTGTGTGGTGGTTTACTTAATTTGTGTATGTGTGCATGTGTGTGCGTGCCCACATACAACACAGTACATATGTGAAGGTCTGAGGACAACTCCAAGGAGTAGGTTTTCCTTACCATGTAGGTCCTGGCAGCAAGTGACCTGCTGACCCACTTGTCCGTTGATGGATGATTTTAATCACTACCATAACCACTACCACTAGCAGATAAATAGTAGTAGTTGATTGATTTTGCCCCCACTATATTCTAAGTTTAATGCTTTCTTGTTCACACTCAGGCAGGTTTTACACTTTCAGGAAAATGTCCTCAGTTTAACTTTCAATACATTGAATTTTATTATTACCTGGAGTTGGGAGGTTACTAAATTATTATGTATGTCTATGGCTGAAGAATTGAAATAGCTTACCTCAGGAACATTGTTAAAAAGTCTTTGAGATTATGGAGTACTTTTAGATTAGGATGGATACCATAAGTATTGTTTTTTAACTTTACTCTGAAATGGAACTGTCATGTACTTTTTTTCCTGTGAACTTACCCCCTGTGGGTGCTGGGAACTGAACTTGGGTTCTCTACAAGAACAGCATTTCCTCATAACCACTGAGCCACCACTCCATCACCTTATTTAAAATTTTTATTTATTACCTGTATTTATTTGTAGGTGTGATGTATGTATTATAGCACAGGTGTGAAGACCAGAGGATGATTTGTGGGAATTCTTTCCTCCACCAGGGAGGAAGCTCAGGTCAGCAGGTATGGCAGTAAGCATTTTTACCTTCAGGGGATTAAATTCAAGGAATTGCCAACTCTTGAGCTATACTTCAAACCCATTGTATGACGTAGTTATCTTTTATTTGAGAAAATTGTTTGTGGTGTGTGTATCTGTGTGCGCGCAGCACATGTAGGCGGGGTTAGAAGACGGTTTCCAGCAGCAGTCTATCCTGGCAGATTTAGTTATTTTTCTGTGTAGATGGGGGTTTTGCTTTTGTGCATGTCTGTGCACCACATATAGGCAGTGCTCCAGAAGGCCAGAAGAGGGCATCGATTCCCTGGAACTGAACTGGAATAAAAACTGGTTGCGAGCTGCCTTGAGTCCTCTGGAAGTCAGTGCTCTTAACTACTGAGCTCTTCGGCCTCTATCTAGCAACTCACTATGCAGCCCAGGCTGGTTCCAATTAGCCATCTTCTTACCTCATCCTTTCAGGTGCTGGGATTACAGGTTCAAGCTACCACGCCAAAGCACGACGTCATTTTTCACCGGAGGGATGGGGACAAGTTCATGGTTCTGATTTTTCCTGTCTGGAGTTAGTTTAGTAGGTAAACACAGTTTACCAGGTCTGTGATATTTTATGCGGGACAAGGACAACTATGGAGGGTTTAGGGCAAACCCTCACTCTTCAAATACTTTTTGTCCCTTTTTGTTGAGTTTGCATTGGGGTTGGGAGCCTAGGGGACTGCAAGCGCCAATCCCATCTCGGCCGAGGCTATGTATAGGCAGCAGGGGGCGCACGGAATTCGTAGTGCGCTCTCCTTTTCACGTGACGTGGACCGTTTCCCTCCTCACCCCCCCCCCGCCCTGTAGGCCCAGCTTCCGGGCCCTGGCATCATCCGGAAGTGGGGGCCGCGGAGGAGGGCGGGGCAAACGCTGCGTGCTCTAGGCTGGGGCTGGGAAAGTGGTTGAAGGAGGAGCTGTCGCCGCGGGCGCCTAGACTGTGGAGTGTGTGTGTGAGCGCGGAGGCTGTGTGCGGGTTGATCGCTGCTGCCTCGCGGAGCTTTGGAGCTCGAACCCCAGCCCTGGAAACCCAGGTGAGTCCCATAGCGGCTTCCAGTCGGTGACTTCAGTGGAGGGGCCGTTTTGTACTAGAATAGAGAGAAGGTCACCACTCTAAGGTGGGGCAGTCTCCAAACTCCTTCACAACTCACATATTTAACCACACTTAGGCTTTATCTTCCCAACAAAGATAGAGAAAGGAGGCTGGGTCCTGACCTGTATCACTTTGTTGTACTTTCCTGGAGAGAGTATCCTGATTATCTGTGGCCTGTGTTAGTTAATAGAAGGTCTGAACCTTGCACTGGACTTCTTGTGGACTGGGATCTTTGCTTAATAACATCTCTTTCTACTTTAGAAAATGAGGTTCTGAAGACCACCATCCCAGACTAAATATTTTCGAAAACGGGTAGTTGGCTTCTTGTCACGCTCTGGGAACATAAGCTAAACGGACACTTGGCCACCCCTTTTTGTATTTTGGTGCTCCATTTCCAGTAAAGTTACAGCCATCTCTGTCCCATCCTGCGACGCCTTTCTGAGACTGTTTCCTCTGTCCTTTCCTCCCTCTTCCCAGTCCTGGGGGTTGAATTCAGTGTCTCCCACATGCTGGGATGCATTTTACTTTGGATTATTTTTTTCGTAGATGCTGAGGTTATTTTAAACACGGACAACACTCAAGCTTTTACAAGCCAATATTTTTTCTAGGATCTGCACTTTGTTTTAATTGTAGTTTCATTATTTAGTAATATGGCTTTGTATTGAGAGAGTATGTGCAGAACGTTGAATTGATACTGACATGTGAGAGATGGGGCAATGTCAAATTAAAACAGTTTCTGGACTCCAAAGAGTTTGCAATCAGTTGAGTAGAATTTAGCTATGAAGCCTGTGTGTTTTAGCAGCCCCACTAAGTGGATAAACAACTTAGGTTGTTTCTACCTACCCCTGAAAGAAAGATTCTTTTGAACAGAGATTTTAGTTTTACAGTTTCAGTGTCACTTGCGTGAAGGTTTTGTTGTTGTACTTGAGTGTCCTCCAATGAAGTAGGAAAGAAATACACAAACTCCTAGTCACTTAAAAATCTCAGTATCATATATTACAACCAGGAAGTGTTAGTAAGATGTATAGAAAGAAGCATTTGAGCTGGGTCTGAAAAAGTGAATAGGACTTAGCTCTGCGGGAATGGGAGAATGGAAGAATAGTCCAGGCACAAAAATACTGGTAAGATCACACTGTACATATCCACATCATATTTATAACAACCAAAAACCTTTCAATATTTCAAGAGGGGTAAAAAAAAAAAAAAAAAAAAAAGGTCTAAGGAGGTACTTCAGTGGTAGACTGTAGCCTTCTCATGGGTAAGGCCCCAGGTTCTACCCCTGGCATCTTGACCAGAAATTAAAATAAAAAGAAGTCATGAAAGGTAGTCACATAGAACTGTTAATCCACAAAAAGCCTACATGTAAAAAAAGAGGAATGATAAACACAGTTAATGTACGAGGTTTAATGGTAATATAATCCCAAATTTAAAAGACAAAAAAGTAGGTAGACATGATTTGTATGTGGGAGTAAGTCTTTCCTTTCCCTCTTTGTCTTCTTTTGTTGAGCTTCAATCAGTTTTTAATTCTGATTGAGTATTGGGTCTTAATTGAAAAAAAAAATATTGGCAGCTGGGTGTGAATGCTGGTTTGATCCCAGCATTCGGCAGGCAGAGGCCAGTTTATCTCTGAGTTGGATGACAGCCTTGTCTACAGAGGGAGTTCCAGGACAGCCAGGGCTACATAAAGAAACCCTGTCTTGAAAAAAAACAACAAAAATATTGTTGACATTGAATAATAATTTTTAAAGCTAGAAATCATTCCAATGTCCCCCTCAAGGAATCCTTGCATTTCTCCTACAAATTGATTTCTCTCCTCATCTTGGTAATGTAATAGAAACTCTTCTAGCTGGTAGATCTTGATTTGTGGCCCCAAGCCAGTGTTAAAACACTCTTTTTCTGAAGGATAGGTTAACATTTTTGATTCTTAATGCAGAAGGCTGCTTTCTTTGGAAAAAAAAAATGCATCAGGTGGTGGTGGCACGCACTTTTAATTCTGTTTTAATTAACATCTTGTCAGAAAAGTGTTTTTTTTACATTTTATTTATTAATTTATTTTTTGTACATGTGTATGCATATGTAGGTACCAGATTGCAACAGCTTGCATATGGAGGTCAGAGGACAATTTAGAGGACTAGAGATTGAATGAATTCAGGTCATTAGGCTTGGTGGCAGGCATCCTTACCAGTAGGGCCATCTTGCCAGCATGTTATTATTATTTTTTTTTTTAGACAGTATCTCATGTAGCCCAAGCTCTCCTTTGACTCCTTTTTCTCTTGCTTTTGTCTTCCCAGTGATGGCACAATAGATTTCAATATTTGTTATTAAATAGGGATATTTCCTAGGACTTAAGTAAAATAAGAATGAGGGAGAAAGCTGGTAAATCATGACTAAACTATGTCAGTTCAAACTACCGTTCTGATAACTGTGATTCTTTTATTTCTTGATTTCTGTCTGTAGGTTGACTTAATGTGATAAAAATTGCTTCTGGGTGTGGTGGTATATGCTTATTTCCCAGCACTGAGAGGCTGAGTCAGGAATAGTAAGAGTTTGAGGCTAGCCTGGACTATATAGCAAGACCAAGAAACAAAATAACAACAAAAAACTTTTATACTTAATTTATTGAAGTAATATGACAAGAAAAGTACCAATATTTATTTAGAATGTGTGTTAATGACAGTGTAGGTGCTGTGTTTCTGGTTTCATAAATGTGTTTGTATATTGTCCAACATTGTCATTAAATTGATTTTGTGAGTTCATTTTATGAGTTCAAATATGTGATAGATCACACTGATTTTCACAAAGACTTCTTTTTCTGATATAAATGAGGATTAGGTATCCCAATTTTGAACTGATTATATGGGCACCATTGCATGTCTGATTGTTTGGAATTGTACAGCTATGTCTAGAGGATTTGAAAAAAAAAAGTACTAATTTTTACTGTACCTAGTATAGAAGTGAAGATTCCAATATACAATAAAAAAATGCATTTAAATGGATTATTTCACATGCAGGAATACTGTTTTAGCCTGGCTATGTACACCTGCTGATTTTGTTCATAAAAAGCAGTGTGTTTGCTGTATGCTGTTGTGATTGCGGTTGCTCCTTAATGTGCAATTGATGTCACAACTAAAGCAGTCGGGGAAGGAAAAAAAAAACTTGACTCACTTCTCTTTTCAACCCTAATGGACAGTTTGCAGAGCTCTGTGTGCCTCTTGGCATTAGGAAAAGAATAGTTTCTGTTCTCTCTCTGTCTCTGTCACTCTCTCTCTCTCTCTCTTTTTGTGGTGAATTGAATCAAGTCTTCAGGTACACACTAGCCAAGTATTTTCCTCTGGAGCCACAGTCCCACTCTCCCTCTTCTTTCCTTTTTATAAAAAAGAATTTAAATTTTATTTCCTTATGTATGTTTATATACATGTATGTAGTGCTGGGAATTGCATATCCTAGGCAAAAGCCCTACCACTGAGCTATATCCCCAGCCCCATTCTTTTAAGTTGTGGTTTGTTTGTTTGTTTGTTTGTTTGTCTGTTTTTTGAAACAATTTCACTATGCAACCCCTGTTGCCTGAAAGTCACTATGTAGCCCTGGCTGGCATTGAAATTGTAAATCTTTTGCCCCAGCCTCCCAAGTATGAAGGTTAAAGGCCTAGCTCGGTTCTGCTCTCTTGGGTTTTCATCTGATATGTGCTACATGCTAATCAGGAGAAAGAAATGAAATAGCTTCTGTTAAGACCTGAAAAATCACTCAAAGAGACCAGAATAGAGAAAAAGAACCGAAAGGTTGAGAGACCCTCTAAAGAAAATTCTCAGGACTCTGTAGGGAAAATTTGTAGTTACTTGTGTGGCAAAGTTTCTTAAAAGTGGCTCCTAAGGGGTTTGGATGTGACTCAGTCATGCACTTAACATGCATGCACTTAACATGGCTTAACATGTGAGTTTCCATGCTTTCAATCCTTGGCACACGGAGGAGTTGACCCTGCGTCTAACCAGTAGTTACAAAGAGCTCAGTTAGAATTCCAAGTGTGTGCCATATCCTTTGTGGTGGAATAAAGGAAGGTATCTGACATTTGCTTTGACACGGCATCTCCCTAACTGGTCCAGATGGTCCTGGAACTCATTGTGTAACCCTTGCTGACCTCAAACTGGAGATCCTCAGGCACTTGCCTCCTGGTTGCTGGAATTATGGTTATGTACCACCACTACTATGCCTGGAATGTTTAATTTTTCTCTTGGTAAAATCATTTGCTCTAAAGATGATAGTAATATTGATTCTTTCTACTCCTCTTTGTGATGCTAAATATATACTCTATGTTAGACAAATACTCTCCCTCTAAACTACAGTTCTGGTAGAATTAATTTTTATATAATTTATTTTTATATTATTTGCATTGGTGTTTTGCCTATATGTATGTTTGTATGAGGGTGTCAGATCCCCTGAACCTGGAGTTACAGATAGTTGTAAAGCTGCCATGTGGGTGCTGGAAATTGAACCCAGGTCTTATGGAAAAATAGCCAGTGCTCTTAACTGTTGAGCCATCTCGCTATCCATGAGAATTCTTATTTATTAATAATAAATTAGTATTAATTCAGTTTTATGTTTCTTATCAGTGTATTAGTAAGCAAATAAAAGCTAGTTTAGGGTATAATTATTAATAAATATATTACTAAAATAGTGATATTAGTGTCATTTGATTATACCTTGCTTCATTTTGACCAAAAATGTTTTCTGATATTTCACTTCTTTTTCAAAATTATTTTAATTTTTATTTATGTGTTTGTCTGTGTGCATATGTGTGCTACATATGTGTGTTTGAATACTTGTGAAGCTAAGAGGGTATTGGATCCCCTGGAGGGGGAGTTACAGACACTTATGAGCCTTCTGATATGGATACTAGCAAATTTTGGACCTCTGGAAGAATTACAAGTGCTTGTAACAGCTGGT